CGTTTGTTGTCCTCTTCTCTCTCTCTGCCTACGGTTTACCGGTCAGTTCTGTTTGTGACGATATATGCTACGACTTCGCTAGCTTCCTGCTACGGTTTTTTCCGGTCAGGTCGAGCGGCAGTGGTCGGGGCCGTTACTAGGCGATCATGTTGTGCCTCTAGTGCCAGCGGCGTGTCTGGAGTGTATTTTTTGGTTGTGACAGATCTTTCTTTGTTTCGTGGATGTTTTGCTGGTTTGGAATGGGGTGTGAACCGACAGTCTGTAGAGCTTTTCATCTGGTGTGGGTGAGTGATAGTCTACTTTGATTTTGGTTAAGGTAGATTATCATTTACAGCGTAATCAGTGAGGGGATTCTACAGACTGTTGAGGGTTCAGCCTCCTGATGAGTCGGTGAAACTCCGACGAAACAGTTTGTCACAGCCCCTCGTTTGTTGTCCTCTTGTCTCTCTCTGCCTACGGTTTACCGGACAGTTCTGTTTGTGACGATATATGCTACGACTTCGCTAGCTTCTTGCTACGGTTTTTTCCGGTCATGTCGGGCGGCAATGGTCGGGGCCGTTACTAGGCGGCCATGCTGTGCCTCTAGTGTCAGCGGCGTATCTGGAATGTATTTTTTGGTTATGACAGACCTTTCTTTGTTTCGTGGATGTTTTGCTAGCTTGTGATGGTGTGTGAACCGACAGTCTGTAGAGTTTTTCATCTGGTGTGGGTGAGTGATAGTCTACTTTGATTTTGGTTAACGTAGATTATCATTTACAGTGTAATTAGTGAGGGGATTCTGCAGAATGTTGAGGGTTCAGGCTCCTGATGAGTCGGTGAAACCCCGACGAAACAGTTTGTCACAACCCCTCGTTTGTTGTCCTTTTCTCGTTCTCTGCCTAGGGTTTACCGGACAGTTCTGTTTGTGACGATATATATATAGCTTTTAAGGACATTTTTTGCATTATATTAACTTTGGTTTTATTCAATATTACCACTTGTTGTAAACGGACAGGGGTAACGTACCATGACAATCAATACTTTATAAATGACCATAGGCGTTGTTGGATACACAAAGTGGTGTACGTGTGATGTGTATTATCTAAGATAATTTGTGAAAATATATTGCTCTACATATGAACGGGTGATTGTGTCTGGCGACTTTTTGTAACTTTATTGATTACTATGTCGAACTATGTTTCTGTTGAACTTCCTACCATGAGTAGTAGAGCCTTCTGTGTTTAAGCGAACAACCCAAAAAAACGCTTGTGAAAAGGTAAATGATAATATCAAAATATTCAACTTAAGTGAGAATTTGGATTGAGTAAGCAGTATTCCCTTTTTGGACACTCGACAAACCTTGAACTTACTTCGATAAGAAGTTTTGTAACAAATTTATTGTTTCAAGTTACCTTTTCGTGAGTAACTCTGCAGAGAATCATTTTACAACATCTCTATTGTAAATAAAAGTTTTTTCATTAAAAATTTGTTTGCAAAAAAATGACATTGACATCAAATTTCGGTGTGTCTCGTAACCTATTCTACTCTTTCATTCAGATAAAACGAAGATTATCGCTGGTACAACAGAGAGGAAAATCGTGCACAACAAGATCATATTAGTGTTGTCTTCAATCCTCTATTGAGATAAAGTCAAGAGCTGGGAAAATGGAGCCGTTAAAAACTTTCAATGCCATATAAATCAACAAGAAAACAAACACTAGAGTTAGTGAAGAAAGAAAATTTTATCGAGTAATATAATTTATTTTCATGGATAAAATGAGAAATTGCATAGCACACTCTCATTCATTGAGGTTGTTAACGGGGCAAGAGGGATCGTTAGTAGCCAACAATGAACCTACCCTGATAATCATCCCCTAAGTTAAGTTTGATCATCTTATTTCAAGTGTTAAACTAAAAAAGGATCAAAGTACAAACGAGAACAAACAATCATGCTCGATAGTACAAGGCGTTGTTTGAATTCTTGGTTAATAAGACAGGGAGAAGTGAGAAAGAAAAATGTCTTGTGGCTAACGTGCAAAACACTACGAAAAAGTTCAGATAGGTGGGAAGACACTGAGAGAAGCTACATTGCATTGTTCAAATATCATATGAGAGAGGGAGCACTTAGTATTATCAAAAGATAAACTATATTCGAGTACATAATGTATGATCAGCGTAAGAGCGGTGAGATGATTGACACAGCTGCATCATTCGAGAAAGTCGAGTAAGCCAAAAAAATCATCAAAAATCAACATTGATTGTTATTCATATAAGTATAGTTCAACCTCTTTCGGTTAAGGGATCAATATTGACCAACCTTAACATGATTGCTTCCAAGGATGCTTTTAAATACCAGTATGTCAGTGTAATTGGATTAGGTTAAAAC